GTTCTTAGCGGTCAGCAGAATCAGTTTCGTTCGGGCTCAGCAGCTCATAGTTCAAAACACCCTTTTGATCCCACCACCAAATGCACGCACAGCATTACTTTTTGGCAATGAACTTCGTTGCAAACTCTCGAGTGAAGAGAAGCCATCTCAGCAGTTTCGTTCAGAAGGAGCTTGTCCTCAATGTGTATCGAAAAGCATCCGGTAAGCTTCAATGCCAGTTCTCTTCTTTCAAACAGCAGAGGGGCCCCCTGGGGAAAACTTTTTATCACGTCCCCTGACCAATCAGTCTGAGAGCAACGGGATTTTGAGAAAAAATTGATCTGTCTGCCCTCAAGTAGGTTGCCAATACCTTATCTTAAAGAATATGATAGATTTCACCGGTGAACCTCTAACATGGTTCGCACAACGACCCTTCGAATGCGGCGGCGGAAATTAATGCACACACCTAATACGTTTGAACTACGAAATCGAAAGGGAAAACATCCATGTGAGCCTATAAATATATATACCCCCATATAGCATTATATATATTACCTCCCAGACTCACTCAATCAGGTCCACAATTCGGAATGAAAAATGGAATGAAGCATTACGGCAGCGGTAATTCAAGGCAAATCTCGGCCTTAGAATCAAATACAGTACTGTGAATAGCATATATGTAGTAGCGCGACTAGACATTACGTAGTTGACCCATTCATTATGTTATACGTCTAAATGGTGACAAAACATGGCTGGAATGCTTTGCGCCACAGAAAGCTGAGATACGGGTTCGAGTCCCTCAGGCCAAGCGTTGCACCGTAACATGGAACCCGCATGACGGTTTTAGCTTCGTGGCCTACGGGCAAAACCAACAATTGAACAAAAATCACTGACAATAAGTCAAATGCTATAGGTGATAAGGTCCAGCTAATTCGATAACATCAAAACGTCGTCCTACCTTGTCAATCTTATTCTCCAAATCAGTTTTGCAGAAAGCACTCTGTCGAATACAAAAGACTCAGCCGACACATAAAGCCAAGGGACTACGTTGCTTGGAACCAATTCACCGACTTCGTAGAAAGGTTCGTTCCCTCAAAAAACTTCGATGGATGAAAACGTGCATTCAAACTCCGCCGACGTGCATTGTTTTCACCGACCGATCGACCGACAGGGCTACTGGCCACGTGTTGACAACGCTGGACACCGACGGAGCACACGCCTATGGGTCGGTCGGCCGGTCTGTGGAACAGTGCACATCGGTAGAGTCTGAGTGATCCATTGTGTTACAAGGCGATGAACTAACCTATGAAATGCCTAGTGCGGAACATTTCTGACACAAATGCGAAATAGGCTACGATCTGGATATTGAAAAACTTCACTTATTGGAATCTATTTTAGGCATGAAAAGCTCTACAGCAGTAAACGTGAAGCTTTGAAACGGTTTAGAATCTTCAAGCGGAATCTGAAGGTACATTAATTTGTTATTACGGCATAGGTAATCAGGCTTCCCAACTCTTAATTTATTGGGTTTTGAATTTATCCAGTACTCCAATATAGGATCTGTTGTAGGAACCATTAGCACAGGGGAAGCTGTCGGTTCGGAAGACGGCCTAGATAGGGCGTATGAAGGGCGCCCAGAACCGGCTCAACCGACGAACACACCCAAGGCGGACGAGTTGTCAAGTGTTGCAAAAGTTAAAGAGGTAGCTCCATTCGCACAGGGACTCACACTTTGAGTACGCGTAATGCCATGCGCATTCGACCAGTTCTTCCGAATACGTCTTCCATGCATCTTCTGTCGCCCCGTTCTGCATCCCCGATTGAGCTGCCCTATCGTTTTGCATTGGAACTTTGTATTTCTCTGAATTCCGCCTTTTTTTGCCACTTTTGCACTGTTCTGGACTAACACTTCCATCTCGTCTGAAACCAGAAAACCCGACCCTGAATTATCTTGTACTGCACCTTTACCTGGTACAGTTGCGATATATTTACTCACAGCTTTACGCTAATCTAAGACGAGTAAGTATTGCTTGAGAATAATACAGGTGGCAAAGAAAGCGAGAAAATCGACCTGGTATGCGAAAAATAAGGCCTCGTAAATGCAGTGAAAATAGAGTTTTCACGAGATTACCGTAAAACGGCATGAAAGCGTTGTCTGGATGATTATTCATTTGTTGCAACTGCGTAAAGAGCTGACTATATCGAGCCGAAAGAGGCCCAAAATTGCTTCCACTATTGCCTGAATCACGACTAGTTGTTTGGATTTCCAATAGCCACCTTCGACTTCGCTCTTATAAGATCAGAAGAGCTCACATGCTAACTGAGCGTAGGAAGAAAACTAGGCTCGAAAGATGTAAGGAGCTCTGAAAGCGATTTTCGCAGGCACGGCACAGCAGCATACTTTTCACTGCCAATGTCTGTTTTAAACAGATCAATTCCTGAACACCCAAAACGATGGGATGATAGCGGAAAGCCCTGCAGAAGCCAGCCAACATGGAGGGATTGCTGAGCGATCTNGGAACCCCCCCCCCCCCCCCTGGGCAAAATCCCATTTCGGCAACCGGATATAGACCTATCAATAGGTCTCAGCTCCAGCACACGGGTTCAAGCCGCGTGGTCAGCTTTTAAGACGAAAGCCTGCTCTACTCAGTATAGAAGATTGGATGCTCTACGTGCAAAACTCGTTAAAGCACGGGAGGATTTGGACGAATACTACCTCTGTGCCGCCGTCGACGCGTTTCCTTAGAAGAATTTCTGCCCGTAGTCGCGCGAAAGGAGGCTATTTCGAGGTCTAGTTTGTTTTTGTAATCTATATAGCTGTTGACAAATGCTGTTGAAGTTGTATCATGTATCGATCGATTTGACAGTTTTTGCGAGCATCGTTACCGTTGAAAGATCTTTTGCCGCATCCTATATAATGGTGCACCCGCAACTACGTTGCTAGAATATGTCCACCTTCAGGGAGAGCATGCAGCGATACAATCCCTGGGCCCTAATAACGCTCCATCAAGGTCGTTTTCCAATCAGGTAGCGCCACATGTGGTATATGGGGGCCATACATTCATGCTAGGAGGATATCTCAGAAAACGTTTTCATCGTAAACTATGCCTTGGAGTAAATCATGATCAGAGGAGACGGGCGTTAGGAACGATTCTGGGTAATCGGTTTGCCGTACGCGGCTGTCGCGGACCACTCATTCGCCGTTATAACAGCTCTAGCGTTCATACAGCTCAATCGATATGCGATCATTATTTTATGCATAATTCTACTACTAGTACTTTTGTTCTTGTATTTCTTACCTACTGCTGCATCCTGCTACATTCCTTCGCGCGCGACGCCCCTCTCATCGCGACGCGACCGTTTCGTGCTAACGCACCACACCCTCATGATCACATATGACCAGTCTGATGTGATTCCCAGCGCTCCTCAACAGTCAATGTGCCGAGCACCGTGTAGAGTGAGTTGTATATGGCCCAATCTTTCCGCCTTCCAGGCGATTCGCACATGGCAAGAAAACGAAAAGGGAACAGCCGTTTATGGAATCACTCAGTTCTCGGATCTTTCACCTGAGGAGTTCAAGAAGGTACCACTCAATTTTTGATCGAATTTCACTCATTTTTTGATCGAATTCATGTCTGCGAGAATCCCTTGAATCATGCTAGAGTAGACTACTATAAGATTAGCCATCTTATCATATCATTTTCGTAAGAATCGAGTTCACCACTCGACATCAGCTAAAGAACAACTTATTCTATATTTATTTTTTTTATTTACTTATTTATTTAAATACACCTCCAGAGTGTGCCCATCATTCACATAGAGAAAAGGAAACTAGAAGCTAGGAAGTCGTGAAAAAATTGGCCAAAAGCAAGACAAAAGAGAAACGCATAACAACAAAACAAGGTAAAAAGGTACAAGGTTAGAACCAGGAAGCGATGAAATAAGTAGAGAGACTAGCAGACATCCCCAGACATCAATGGAAGCGAGGAAGGAGCTAGAGCATTTCATTGTGAGAACGATAAGGTTGCTTTCCCTGTCAAGCAGATGAGAGGTCCCCCGCAAGATCCTGGTCCTTGGTCCAGAACGCAAAGTGACAGAAGATCCGAGGCTTGCTGACAACTTAGTCCGTTACGAACGAATTCGTCCAGAACCTCTGGTGAGCAGACCAAGGGGGACCTCAAACGAGGGGGCTCATCAAACCTTCTATATTACTTGAGTTCTGGGCGTATAGTGGGCAACTTGAAGAGTAAGTGGGGGCAATAACCTTATTGGTGTGCCTGTCAACAGCGTTACTCAGTACTGTTTGAGAGGGGGGGGGGGGGGGGGGGGGGGGGGGGGGGGGGGGTGGAGGAGGTCCTGATGAGGGTTGCAATATCAATAGTTCGCGCTTTTCGATCACTATGTGGAGCATGCAGTAGTCCGCATAAGCCGAAGTGCCCAGAACCATTCTTGAGTAGAACTTTGGCTGATGCGGTGCTATCCACAAACGTTCTGGGTAGCGTTCCTTTCTTCAATTCCTGGTGAGAATTTGGATGAGACAAGAAAGTTTGCGGTTCTTTGAGAGTATGTTATGGGACAATCGTCGTGAGGGAATGTAAATATGCAGAGCTTAATTCTTGTTCTAGTAAAATTCAGGGTCCAGCTATAATCACGCTTCTTTTGAAAGTCGCATCACATACTACATAGGATATGGGAGCTTCTCGATAGATTGCTTCTAAAAAACCATATCTTAATGTGATGATCAATTAATTAATTTATTTATATTAGAAAGAAATCATGTTTTGTACAGATCTACCTGCCATACACTTGGGAACAGCCAATTTACCCGAACCGAATTGCGGATTTGGCCGCCGAAGGAATAAGTCTGGACGACCCACTGCCTGACTCATTCGATTGGAGAACGCATGGCGCCGTGACAGCCGTTAAAAATCAAGGTATCTCTTTTTCCTAATCCTTAAGTTGAAGTGCTCATCTACGATCAGTCGGCCTTGATTTGCAACACTAATCTGAACGTGGTGCGGAAATGAATTATAGCCGCACTATGAAAAAAGTATGTTCCGAGCACAATGCTACTCGCTACCTCTGGTGGGCGTGGCCGTAAAGCGCGTCGCAGCCGCATTGCCTCTGATGCCTTTACCGTGTAAGGTAGCTGAGCTATGACTATGCAAGTAGGTAGTTTTTCTGCAGGGAGAAATTCGGTCGCTTAGCATGACGCAGTCTGACTTATATTTATGCAAATCGCAATACTGATGGGTTCGAGGTTCCTTCTGGTCTCCCATCTCCTGGAGCTGGCCACCCAACGTTTTGCTCGATTTCTATCCACTTGAAAAGGATTGATTTCAGGCAATTGTGGAAGTTGTTGGGCGTTTTCGACCACGGGAAACATTGAAGGTCAATGGTACCTGGCAAAAAACAAACTTGTATCATTGTCGGAACAGGAACTCGTCGATTGCGATATCATCGATCAAGGATGTAACGGTGGACTGCCAAGCCAGGCTTACAAGTTGGTTCATACTTTTCATATTTCCCTTCACATCTCCCTATATAACTTTGTGAAGTGCTGTATTTAAAATCTATTTGTTTTTGTAAGCGAAGCCCCTTCCCCAACAGAGTGCGTTAATAGATAATGAGTAGGAAAAATTGGAAGCAGGTAGTACAAATCGTTCAGATTTGAGAAACAGTGAAGTTTGCATTGCGTAACAAGTACTTCGAACGCTTTTTACAGAGAAATAATCCGAATGGGAGGTTTGGAACCCGAAGACGCATATCCGTACGATGGAAAGGGAGAGACATGTCACATCGTCCGCTCGGTGAGTCTTACCGTTACCTCGAAAAGATTCACTCAAGATTAGCTTATAGCGTCTACCAAAAGTCTTATCAGCATATATTTGAAAGTTTCAACGTGTATGATCTACATGTTATCACTATTAATTAAACGGCATTCAAGCACACTTATAGGTATTTACAAGGTATCAAATCTGATTAATTCGTTCTAGGTGGTTCTCACAACGAAACAAATAGGTCTAAGCTTGGGTAACATGGGACTTACTCTTGTCTCTAGAGCATGTGTCAAAGAAGAGCTCTGAAGATTCTAATGCAACTTTAAAGCTAGAAATATTGATTAATGTCGCTGATATCAAGTGATGTAACCACGGCGACTGTGGCTACATCAGCGAGAAAAATCTAAGAAATGTTTCTAGTTAAGGAGAACAGCGTCGCTTTCGTTGAGTTTTGGATGGCTTAGGAGATTACTTGCACTTCCTGCTTTAGAAGTTAGTCTTTTTCGCTATCAAATAGGAAACAGTTCACCAGTTTTACCGTCGTGAATTATGGAGCAGGTCTATGAGACAGTGTAGGTCAATAAGGATTTCATGTCTTAGGGCGTAAATCAATCCCGTCAGAGGGATGCACCCACTCGTTCGACTTTCATTCAAGAACGTAGAGGCGTATTGAATGCGTATGTGCTCTACACCGTGACATCAAAAGCTCACGCCACTGTTTTTACCCTCCTAGACGGTACTGGTACCAAATAACTGTCCCCGAAGTGGTGGAAGGCCCGATTGGCCTATGCGGACATCGATACGGGTGGAACCCGTGGCCATGCATGCGTGAAGTGCGCCACTTGCTACTACACACCTCCGCACATTAGGACGTCATAGTGGGAGGATATTGGAAGTAGGGTAGTCCGGAGTAGCAAGCTCCCATTTCGACACACTCCTCCAGAACCCATCGTCACTTCTGCCCTTTGCATCATTACGTAATGGATTTCTACCAAACCTGCCAAAAGAGAATGTGTGAAGTAGAAGCCATCTTCAGTTCTCCTCTAGAGAATTGCATATCACATACTAAGAAGCATATTTAGCATTTAGGATTGCCGTTCAAATTGAAAGTCGGTGAGGCTTCCATCAAATCTCGAATCTCTTCTTGACCCCAATGAAGCGTAGGGCTCCCATACTTCAGTTAGCTAACTTGCCCTCGTCATCAGTTATAATAACAAATTCACTGCTGGTCCCAGGAACTTCTTGGCCAATTAATGCCCAAAGTTGAACACATCAATTACACTAAAATGAGTTGCAGCAGAGCACTAAAATCAGGCTTCCCTTCTATTTCTTTGTTTGATATCTCAAATGCAAGCGCTTCAGGAAATTGCTGTCTACATCAACGACTCAGTAGAGTTGCCACACGACGAGGATAGCATGAAAGCGTGGCTGGTGAAGAAGGGACCAATATCAATTGGTTAGTTAAAATTAGCTTGTACTTGTAGTATTTTTCTATGTTTTAACAAAAGAGTGTCGAGCTCCGGTAAGATTTCGTCTAGCAGTTCTCGGGCTTCAATATTTCGTGTTCAGAATCCAGCAAATTCTGTAAAAGCTAGTTCTATAGTCTNAACACATCAATTACACTAAAATGAGTTGCAGCAGAGCACTAAAATCAGGCTTCCCTTCTATTTCTTTGTTTGTTACAAGCGCTTCAGGAAATTGCTGTCTACATCAACGACTCAGTAGAGTTGCCACACGACGAGGATAGCATGAAAGCGTGGCTGGTGAAGAAGGGACCAATATCAATTGGTTAGTTAAAATTAGCTTGTACTTAGTATTTTTCTATGTAGTGTCGAGCTCCGGTAAGATTTCGTCTAGCAGTTCTCGGGCTTCAATATTTCGTGTTCAGAATCCAGCAAATTCTGTAAAAGCTAGTTCTATAGTCTATGGGTCAGGACTGCCACCCCTATGACAAAGCTGGGTCGCTGTGCGTGTGATCCTATGGCTAGGCATTTCAGAATCCCTATTTTCAATAAAAAAGAAAAGAGCCTGAAATGCATAGAAGTAGCTCAAATGGCGATAGAAAACCGGTAGTGCTTCCAGGCTCATGCCCAACTACATAAAATCGAATCGCATATGCTTTGTTTATTTACCAGCATCGATCACAGTTTTCGATAAACACAATTAACTAAAGGTAAATGGTACTTAATATATTAAAAAACAATCGAGAGAGCGTTATGACTGCTGCCGTTCAATAGCATAACTGGTAGCGGTACGCTCTCCTTTCGAGCGATTCCGAAGCCATCGAATGAGCCCAGATACCTCTCCTAAATCGAGAGCATGCCGACGATCTTGTTCTCGTCTTCCTTCGAGCCTTCAGTTTTCCTTTACTGAATTCATCTCCGCTCGGTTGTGATCTGAATCATGAAGAAATAAGTTCCCTACTGTCGATTGAGATGCGCCATGCAAATGCTTTCCAGATGATTTCGTGGGCCGCTCTTTGTTCATCACAATCGGAAACGCTGGTTCTCAAGAACGGGGTTGGCTGTTAATCAAAAAAGATTAATTTCGAGCTTCACAGATGATCTCCTATGTTCGTCTTGAATGTTTTTTGAAAATGGTTTCACCCTCTCAATTACACTCTATGATGACCAGAAAGCAACTGCATGCATATTCGAGAGAAACCAGGCATACATGTAGCTGAGCTCTGATGCTGGAGCTGTGAGGAAATGCCATACTTCGTTGCGGACGAAACTGTCAATCCAGCATGCTAATCGCATCAGACAAACAATAATGGCCATCAAGAAAGATTCTGGAAGAGTGAAGTTGTTTAAGTGGACCTTGAAGGCCCAGTTCAAGACAAATGTGTTCTGAAGTCTTCTACTAGGGCGAATCTCCACACACCAAGAATGCTCCAATGATGGTTGTTGAGTGGAGAAACGGCATGGATAGGGCGCAAGAAGGTCTCATAAATGGGCTTCGTCGATGTCCACATTCGTAGGACGTGTTTCAACGGCGTTGTAGAGGCTGCATGATTCACAATGGAGCGCATATGTTGAAAATTCAAACAGCTGATGATTTCGTCCTAGGGCTGATCTGTATTACACCTTAGGCGAAAGAGTGGCGAAAATTACTGGTTATAGCAGCAAATAGCAAAATGAAGGTCGGAGTAGCACAATGTTTCCTTTGCATTCAATTTCGCCCTATTTCTACAGAGGGAGGCAATGCTTGGTTTTTTGCTTACTGTGGTCAGCTCTTTGTGTAAAGGCATGCCACTGGACTCTCGACCAAACACTCTTCCAACACGGTTTCCCTTTCTACCAGTTTCCGCTCCATCTTCACCCACGACTTACTCATCTGTATTGACACTCCCGTTTTGTAATTCAAGCAGGGTACTTCAGATTTATCGTGAACTGTGCCTTAAAAAAGTTTCTCGCATTTCAATTAGAGCAACTTACGATCTTTTGGCTTGGATTTGTAGAACTGATGCCGACGTGCGCACTGGGAACTGACATTATATTGTAGACAGAGAGGCTTCTTAACAAACCTGAAATACTCCTTTATTTTCAATAAGTCGAATTCAACAGATTTTTGTGCCTACGAGGAGACAGAAGATACAGATCGGCTCCACACAACAGTAATGAGAAGTCCACCCTCTGAATCCACCTGGCTCGGGCAACAACTGGTGGCTTCTTTTCCCCAATTCGCTCCCTATCTGCCACCTGGGGTCGCCATCTACCGACCAGAAGGAGAGAACTTTCCAGTAAGAGGGAACTCTCAATGGAGGATATGGGAGGATCGCCGTGAACTCTTTATATTCAGAGAGGCTGATGTTTACTTCTAATGAAGAGCCTCACACAGTATAATGATAGGATGAATCGTGAATAGGTAAGCTACGGGAAGAGTTGTTCGGTGGCGATGTTGGTGCCCCGTTGATCATGGCGTGGAAGTCGAAGAATACATGTTAGTTTTTTTGTAAGTACCACACCTGGAGGGCGGAGGTGTAGTGGCAAGTGGCGCACTATATCACACGCACGGTCAGGGGCTCGAATCCCGGATCGATGCCCTCCCAGGCCAACCAGGCCCTCCATCCCTCCGGGGTCGGTGAATTGGTACCGGACTTGTCTGGGAGGATAAAAGCACTGACTTGTACATCGGCTGGCCACCGCAAGTCATTGTATAGGCCACATACGCACTCATCACGCCACTACGATTCTGAATGGAAGTCGAGTGGGGCGCATTCCTCAAACGGGATTGATTAACGCCAAAAACTTTATCTTTTTTATGACACACCTGGAAGGATGACGCTCACCATGTAATGCCATATGTTCGAGGGGGTTCATTGCCTCCTGGGAAAGTCTGATCTTTATTAGAAACTGAATTCATCTTTCGAATTTTCAGAGTAACTTGTCATCAAAGGACTCCGGAGATGCCTAATGGGAGTAGTCGTAAGTGAGTGTGGGTACTTCTCCTCGAAAATCGCGTCGCGATCGCCTGCCTCACGAGTTTGGAAGGAGAAGTAAGAATTGAAGGTGGAGGGACGCGGTTGTGGGGCGCACAAAATTACTTGACAATTAGTGATGCTATAATATTGAATGCAGATTCGTCAAGTGAAATTGCCAGAAGTCATTTCAGTAGAAGGCTTTTTTGGAAAACAGTTGTACCACCCTATTGCACATGAAGCTTACAAAAACTAGTACATATTTTGAACTTATTTTTGGTTTTGATTGGATCTATGATTACTGCCATTGTTCATTACAGTGGATCTATTCTACAAGATTCTGTTTATAATTCAGACGCATGAAAACAAATGTCAGACGATCCCTAACGTCATTGTTGAGGAACGTTGAGGATGTTGGAGTGGCGCTGAGATAAAACAGAACGCTTAAGTAAATTATGATTCTTACGGAACCCAAAAAAAACTACAGCAAACACGTGCGATAATTAAATATTCGGGAGACTTTGTAGTCGAATACATTTGTTCTCAGCTTGTTTGTTTAACCTTCATCCACTTCAAGTAACACGGAACAAAGCTAAAAACAAGTGACTTCAAGTGTATCAGAGTTGCAGCGCGGCATATTTCAAGCATTAATCACTTTTCGGTCTGGTGACTATTTCCTGGGAAGGGATGCTGTTCAATAATAAATCTAATTTCTGGGCTATCTAGTTTTAGACTAATAATGGAAGCGATGGTCTAGAATAAAGCATTAAAGGTGAATGAAACGCGAATTCTGCATTTTTCAAAAGGAATTTCAGTCGAGAAAAGTAAAATTAGGAATTGGACCAGAATGTGTCGACAAAAATGCATGGAAGGGTATTTGGACGAGATGTCCGATTGTGTTTGCCATTGCATACGGCTGGCTACAGTAGGCTGCCTGCGTGCCTGCGTGCCACATGTGCGTTACGGTGGAAATGGTGCAACCTCTACAGCCTCTACAATGCCGTGTGAACTAATTCGACTTTGGTGTGTTTATCGGTTGGATCGGTCCAAGGGCTCTTATTTTTCGATCCGACAGTGTCCTTTGTGCTATCCTTGTGGCCACAGGTTCATTATGGGGAGAAATCTCAGAAATCATTTTCATCGTGGGCTCAAGGTGATGCGTTACTTCCTGCCAGCTGTGAGTCTTTAGGTCCAGTCCACGAGGAGGTAAACGCCTTTGACGTTAGCTTCACCCTAATCATGCGGAGTCGTGCTAGCAGATGCTTTTCATTTGGCTCTACAGAAACCGAGCTCTTTTCTTATGGTAATTCCTTACCGTAACTTGCCCATAGATTCGCTTTCCGCGCGAGGTGATCGGCCATTGGTTGGAGTTGTGGTTCCCGTTCCGCTGCGTTGTTTTCGATGGTGCATCTTCACGGGATTTTCGTTCGATTCTAAAGTTCATATGTAAAATTTTCTTCTTAACCGAATGACATTCGGAGCGACCGTTACATAATCTCATTACTTTTATTACGTTGGTTCAAGTTGGTTATTGATATTTTTACTGTTTTTTATTGTTCTTGGCTGGGGGAATCTATTTTCGGTAAACGTATTGCTGATCAAACCTCCTTTGAAATGCTTCTCTACCAGGAACCGAAGCAAACCAACATCAAACCGCTCCTTCAACGGGCATTCCCAGAAGGGGGAATAGTAGCAGTGAGTTAACCTTTCATTGGAAACTCTCCCCTGGCCTGAAAATCCTGCATGTCCCACGCAAAACCTATAATAATACCAAACAACAAGGAGTTTTCTATCGCATTCGACAGCTTGCTCTTGAGATCTCCATGAGGCTAACATTTCTCTCACTGGATCAGGTTGACGTTCTATCGCGTGACGAGTTCTCGAATCTATACAAAAAGCTCGTGTTTGTAGGAGAAAGTCTAGTTGTAGGAAGAGGATGGGGCAAACAACAAATGAAAAAGTGGTTCTGAAATTCATTTTTATTGAACATGGATTGGGGCTGCAGTAAAAATCGGAAAGGACCGATAGTACGTAGAAGAGANAGAGAAAAATCCACACAGCGTGGAGTCATAGAAACTCTGAGTATATCAGCATCCTCTGGATTTTCGAAAGCTTAAATAATAAATAAATGAATAATAAGTAATATTATAATAATAAATAAATATTAAATAATAAATAATACTAAGTAGGTAAAAGCGATAGAATGTCGCGAATCGCGAATTCTCTTCCGTTTAGCAGGCCCGGTTAGTAGTTAAGCACATAGGAATGTTTGGTAATCTTAAGCATTTGGTCTTGGTTCACGATTTGAATTTCGATAGCTCCTTCTCGGGTAGGACTCCGATTTTCTAAGAAGTGGAGCTGAGCTTTCGTTTCACTAATCGTTACTAGTTGTCAAAAGGCTTGTTCATAGATATTAGTATACCGCACAACGTAGGTGCATACTATTGCAGGTGTAACGGTTTTTGCAGCAATAGACAAAATGTGTTGTAACTAGGTGTTATAGCGAAAAAAAGCTGAAAATGTCAAGCTTCCCCTGAGCTATCGCTAGGGTGATTCGATACAAGAAATATCAGGCAGTCTGTTTTCTTCTGGTTTTCCCTTAGAGTAGTCCAATCCCTTTGTGATGCTTCAAAACAGCAGCGCAAATGTAACGAAATGACTTGTAGCTGAAGTGAGTAAATGTAAGAGAGATGGCAGTAGTGAGAGTGATAGCAGAATTCGAGTGATGATAAAGGGTAAATCTTATTGATGATGGGATCACTCACGACGATGGAATGCGTGGGCTGTGTTTGACTTTCAGCGCTCAGTGAACGAAACCCAAACAAGCGGCGGGATTTCGTAGACAGCAATGTAAAGGTTGTTCCTTCGATTGATCTTTGAAATCCGGTCGAATAAAAAGAAATAAAGTGTCCAGTGTTAGTCAATTCTTACGCGGGAGATTACAGGACCGAGTTCTTCTCGGAACCATGGAGTGAATACAATTCAATCTTCATAAAGACTAAAATGGTGGCATGTTGTTTGACGCTTCCCAACCGGAACCGGATGAAAGGAACTCAGTTTCATGGTGTTTATAATGTCTATGACTTACTTCGGTGAGAATGAAGTTGAAACGGGCCATTCATTTTCGCAGTCGTGAGAACCACTCATTCTCGCGGGCGTGGCACCACCCGTGCGGCATACCGCCTTTGCCGCACCCATCGCATTTCGAAGATATTTTCGGATTTGAATGGTTGCAGGACACGGAGGTGGGGCTGTCATGAGTCGGGTAGCCCGAGACTGTTACCGAAATTTGCCGCACATCTGTGCATCCACGGGGATTTAGAACAAACTCCTACACCTCCTTTTCCTCTTTTGCATTCTTTCACCGTTACAGTATCTTTATGTTAGTGACGAATTACCCTCCGAACCACCTTTTTCCTTCTAGCCTAGACTTTAACCCCCCCCCCCCCCCCCCCCCCCCCCCCCCTNCGTATACTTGTTCCAAAGACCTCCAAGGGGCTTCACAACTAACAGCGGAGCCCACATTTCCAAGCAGGAGCCGTGACGCGTGGCGACAGTGAAGAAATTGCCGGCGTTTTCGATTCACAGTAGCCAGCTCTGCGCAATAGCGCACATTACGCACACAACTATTTCTCCTTCGAAAAGTCTTGTTACACATTTACTGCAAAGGGAATTATTACTGCAGCTAGTCACGCCGTGCATAAACTCACTAAACTGACAGAATCAAGCATTTCATATCAGCATTTCATATTCATAGCATTTCCTAAAGGACTTCGTAGAGTGAGGAGGCCATGGTCAAAGAAAAAGGCTATCAACCAAAGTCAGTTCCTGATATTCAACCAAAACCCATTTATTCCGCTTTTTCCCGACATTCCAGCTCGTTTCGTTGATTTCCTTTCTCTGAAACCGACAGATCTCCGATTATTGTGTCACCATTTAGGCATCAACGCGAATCCACTTCAATTTTATCGTCATGGCATTTCACATCCGTGGAAAATTCTCTGCGAACCGTTTATGCTGAATCATGGCGTCCTCATAGTCGGATACGGTAGCGAGAAGAACAAGCCGTACTGGATTATCAAGAATTCTTGGGGAACTAAATGGGGAGAGGACGGATATTACCGGTAAGGATATGCTTCATTCTTTTGTAATTCCTTCAACCTTATTTGAAGTATTTTGGAGTGGTAGCTCTGAGATGAGAGTCGTTTTTTTCACCAAACTTCGGTCTGTTTTGGTGGGATCTGGTTACCTGCGTAATATTGCTCCAAAGATTGGCAGCGCAGCTTGGCCGTCTCTCCTTCTTGGTTCTACGCAACCTCGTCTGAGATCCGATCAAGGAATAAGCCTCTTTGCACAGTAATCATGTGCACTAACTCTTTGCCTGGTGTAGAGGACTTCAGCCCTCAAGTCAGCAGTAAGAGTTGACGGTTTGTATAGTAAAAAGCTGCACCAACCCTCATCCTTTTTCTAGGCAAGTTTTACACATAATGCGCTCACCTACTATTACATAATTATTATAATGAATTCTCTCCTGCTAATTCGCTTTGAGTCACAGCTCAAAAATTCATTGCAATCTTTGTTGACCTAAAGAATCAAAGGCGATGAAGGATGTCAACCCGACATCGAATATCCATTTATGATTGCTCAGTGCATTTTTCCAGTTTTCCTCTGAACAATACACTACTTCACGAGGGCCACCACTTTCATCTACCAGTTTTTTATACCCGATAAATGGCATAAATGGCAACCATGAAAGTGGTTTAAAGTAGTGATGCATTTCGCATAAGCGCGATGTGGCGCTCCATGCCATCTCATTGTTGACTATGAAATTTGTCCAGAGCGTGCAGAACCTGGTTTCATCCCTCATCGCTTGAGTCAGATATAAAACTGTGATGTTGGGGTTAGAGAGACGAACGATCAAACCTAGCCTTGCACGCCCTACACCTACGATAAAATTCATTGCTACAATGAGTTAGCCAGTATATACATCATCCTAGCGATAAATTCTTACTCATAGTATACCATGGCCAACCTTCCTCATCAACGGGATTGCAATATTTACAGTATCGGATTGAATAGGATCAATATCCATACTTCCGGTGGTGAGCAATCGTGGAAAGCCGCAGCCAGGAAAATAGAGCTGTTGTTGAGGCGACGAGGGTGAAAGTGGGCTGGTACTGTATACCGCATAAGAGACAAATACCTAGGAATAGCCGCGCGCTGTGAGCAGATCAGGCATAACGCCATGCATTAGTTTGGTTTCAAATTGGGTAACATCGCACCTATACTCGCTCCCCTTAGGAGGACCTTGCCTGATCACTGAGCTCTCGGTCAGACTTAACTGGACTTACGATACTACGATTTGAACTCTTTTACCATTATTACTGCAGCTGCATATTCTAGAACAGCAAGATTAAAGGTAAAAAAAATTAATTCGAGTCATTATAAAATGTGCCTCGAAAGCACCATACATTAGTGTCATATCTGGACATTATTTGCGATATTTTGAAAAGAGTGAGAAAGATCATGTTCTGCTGATTTGCTTGCATGCAAGCGACTGGGGAATTGAGTGTATTCTACTCGGGTCCGGTATCTCCTCCCCAAAAAGGACGCCGCATCCGACCGCGCATTCGCACGCAATGCAGGAGGGAAAGACTCGAATTTCAGTGGAATAAAAGGGCAGTCGCCGCGCGACCGCTGCCGCTTGCTGTAGGAATTCGGGGAGAAGTTCCCTCACCCTACTGTCTATCCTTACTATATATAATCCACAAGTTTGGTGTGTCTGTCTGTGTGTATGTATCTATGTATGTATGTATGTTTGTTTGTTTGTTTGTTTGTTTGTTTGT